CTTGTGACCACGCTGTGTACATAACTTAGTGTTTTCGTCTGTGATTATTCGTGATAAAACTAACGCTAGACTACACACATATATATATATTTCATATTATTTTTAAAGTGATCATTGCTGATTTCAATTAAAGTTTCAGATCTATATTTTGGACTATCACAAATCATTGTCTAGGAATTCATAAACTTGGCTAGACTATTGCAGCTGAAATTATTTGAAACGTTATTGATATCTGCAATGCAATAAATTCATTCATGGGATTGAAAGTTTAAAGGTGCCGAAGCAATAAAAGACAGTACACTTTAATTATTTGTCGTAAAAACCATGCTAGCCACATATTTTTTATCACCCATACTCTTCTCAATTGGTCCATTACTGATTTAATTATAACAATGCTCTCAAAATTGTCGTTTTACAATGTCTTACAGAATACGTTTTTGTCTTACTGTTAATTATTTACATTGAATTATGAATTCAAATGTTATATTTTAGATTATTATATTCATCCAAAATATAATAATCATTCGTTTAGTTTAACAGCTTTCTTTTACATGAAACCAATAATTAATTATTTGTTAAAAGTTGTCAATAGGTCAGCTTTGTCGGTGACATCATTATTATTATTTTTATTTAAAGAAAAACAACACTTCTTTGCATGAGCAATGAATTTTTGAACCTTAAATGGATCACCTAACAAAAGAGAACATTCGTTTTAGATACCATTATTCATAGTATAAAACTACAAATTGGTCTGGATTGATTTATAAATCACCATAGCAGTACACCGAAATGAACTTAATCAGCACGACGAAGAAAGAGTTTAAGTTACCCTTTGAGTGATGTGTTTTTAGATAAGATATGTCAAATTATGTAGATTTTTCATGTATATCATTGCACAAAATACTATTTCCGAACATGAAAATTTTATTATTCAAGATTTGAAACTACAATTACATTTAACATAACTCTAAATCTGCTTTGTATAAGTACTCTATTATTCATATACTTATATTTAAAAAACTGTACACAATTACATGTGGTGCAGATATATTATTTTGACAAACTAACACAAAATGTAATTTATATACAAATTCAATATAAATACAGTGTAGCCCCGTTATAACGCGATCGTTGAGGTCCATAAAATGTCATCGCAAAACAAGTGGGGTCGCGTTAAATCGGGGTTCAAGAAAATCACTGTTCAAACTGGCCCAATGTTGACTAGTTAAAAAAAAGAATCAATATTTTCACGGACAAATTTAAGTAAAAATATTTCATTAAAAAATCTGATTTTTTGTGTGCAAAAGGCTTCTAATGTTTACTATAAGTCTATAACATTTTGTAAAGATACACTTAAAATAGTAAAAGTTATTAGTATGTAAACTATAACAAGGTTATGGTTACGAGTTCGGTCCCAAGGACCGAGCCAGTGTTGAAAGAGTTAATGACCCATCGCGTTCTATCTGAATTCGCGTTAAATAGGGGTGCGTAAAATCGGGGGTTTCACTGTATATTACAAAGATTTAAAAAAATACTATGATTCTCTTTCTATACGTACTATCCATGAAAAAACTATCACCTACCCTAACACTTATATACAAGTTTTCGATTAAAAACAATTAAAAAATATAGGATTACACAAACGTAGATTAAGAGTTTAAAAGTGGCACTATAGACGACTTTTATATAAAATCTGTAAAACTCAACTGGTTTCAAGCTTTTACTCACACAACCAAACCACAAACAAAGAAATTAATTAAAATATAAAAATAAAAGATTGATAAAAACGCAAGAACGAATCTTAATTTATACACGTGCACTCTTCGAAGCTGTGAAATATTCATGTCGCGTAAATTTTTCATAACCATCTGAAAAAGAACTCACTTTGAGTTAAAAGAGCTAAGTTATATGTTACAACATTTAAATTTTCGTTATATGTGTGCGTGTGTTTTTGTTTGATTGTTTCTATTGTTAGTCTGTCTGGAAAAAGATTATTATTCGTTAACTTTTAAGCAAAATTTCTAAGTAAAATATTCTTCATTAAGAGATCTGTCTCTTTCTATATATTTGTTTTTCTTCAATTAAAGAAGAATAAAGAGCCAAATTATAAAGGTTATTTAAAGATAAATAATATTTTAGTGTCGTAGTTCTACGTAAATCACCAAAGAATCAATCGTTCAAGCAATTGAACGATTGGTTCTTTGGTGATGTACTAGAAATACAGGTTGTGGTATCTAAAATCCTATCCATATGTTTAACCAATAAACCTTATTTTTGTATTTTTCGTAAGACAGAATACAGTTTATACAAATTGTTTGCAGAAAAATATTAAAATTTGAAGTTTTAATAATTCCATACTTAATACACAAAATAAAACAAATGGGCATGTGAGTAATAGAAATTATAGACACGTATGTTTCAATAACATCAAACAATATCCATAGAAAACTTTTAATGTTATCTGTCTTCTGACTTACAAGTTTGTCGTGTTCACATGAACAAAACAAAATCGATCACTGATGTGTTCTCAAGTCACTATGAATCAAGTAAGATTGAATAGAATAAATTTGTAAGGTACAGAATCATCTCGACAGTATAAAATATTATAAGATACATGTAATTTGTAATTCAGATAATATCTGTGCAACCATTACTAACAGAATAAATATATGCAGTTTTAAGTTGAGTTTTATTTATTTCTGGGAGTGGAATTTAATTGAAGACATAGAAAAACTTAAAATGCATAATTACTTCTTATATCACACAAATGTATTAAACCAGGCAACAATATAGGACGGAAACGTTTCGTCAAAACAAGGTTCTGAAATAGTGAGAATCTGCAAGATAACCTTCCCGTTTTTTTTGTTTTTTTTCTGAAGGAAAAGCCCATTTCAAAGTATGAAACACAACCATTAAAGCCTGGGTCATTTACAATTTATCTGGTATAAATTGAAAGCCTAATCGATTATTTAATATTCGATTTTTCTACTAAACTGAAAAGATAAGGGTAGAAATTTTGGGTTTGATAAAATAGATATTCATTTATTTTTCATTTCCTTGCTTATATTTACTAACAATAAATATTCCGAACTCGTATATTTTGAGAAAACTGTTAGTGGTACCAATGCTCGAGGATCTGTCATTTTGCTTGCTGTTGTTTAATAACTTGATTCTGCTGAATGAACAAAACAACCACATAGCAGAGATTTTAATTTTTCACGTGTTTTCTGAATATTCTATCCATATGCGTCATAAAGTGCTATTTGATGACCATGTAAAAATAAATAAAGCACTCCTTTTCTTAAATATTTCAACGGTACCCCTACAGAGATTATCATAGTGTAGAGGGCGCAAAGATTCAAGAGTCATGAGTAGTCGAAGCTGTCTTTAACCCTTTCATTCCCACACCAATGTTACAATTAGAAAAATACAATTTTAAAATTTTACTCAACTCAATATTCATTGAAAACTAACAGTCTTACCTTTTTTTTACTTTAAAGTACACTTACACCAATTTAAGCTTTTTCGGCGTTAAGAAAAATTTTATCTTAAATATCAAATACATTTTTATATTTAAATACCTAAGGCGCCAGTTGTATTAAGAGAAAGTTATGAAAGAGTTACAATGTCCCCTTAATAATAAAATTAATTAATTGTTTGTTCGATCTAATACAAATCGCAGAGTGTGAAGCACAATAGTAAGCTTTTCGCTTATAAATTTTATGAGAATATTAATAATTTTAGTAACCAGCAATTCACAATATGTTATCACCCAAACTAGAACATATATGAGACTTTTTGAATTTTAACCTATTTATGAACGAAGATACTGTATTATTGAAAATAAACTCCTGAAATATTTCGATTACAACAAGTGTAAATGCAACATGTTTTGCGGCGTGGCAGCGGTAATTTTATAGACTTAGAACGCTAAAATACGGAGTTCGATTATTCGTGGTGGACAGAGCGCAGATAGCTTATAGTGTAGCTTTGCGCTAAAACAACAACAAACAAAGATACAAATTGCTCTAGAAATATGTTTCGAAATATTAAAACAAATGGATATGAAATATTTATAACACTTCAAACAATAAGAAGAAAAGTGACTTCTGTACAAGTATATAAAAATTAAAATAAGCTATTGTCCTGACTTTTCCAACATCTTACGAATCTGCCAAGCCTAAAATGTCATTTACTGGATTTCTTTTTATCAAACAATATATCATTCGTATAATTTATGCACAATATAAGTACAAAAATTATATTCATTTTTATATTCAAAAGCTATAATTAAAAACTATGAGTAATAAAAATATGTCGATTTCTAAAAAATCGATGAATGTAAGATGTCAAAAATATAATTATTTAAAAATGCATAACAGATTCAGAGTTACACAATATTAGTGAATATGTAAACTGTAGATATTCTCTTTTTTTTTGTAATGAAACTTAGAAAAGTTTAGGTCTAAAGGATATATCAGATGAAACAAGACGGCTTACAATACGCAGAAAACAACAAAAAAAATAATCATCGTTTAGAGTTAAACTAACTAATAATACGGAAAATAATGGAACATTCAAAAACATATATCTAAAATTTGACATAATTTTTTCAAAATAAATTTTTTCATATAAAATTATTGGATTATCTATGATTTATTCCAAACACAGAACGGCCACCTTTGATATTTCAGTAAATGCGACTTAGCGAATACATGCTTTATTGGATAATTACACGAGACGAAATTCAAATTAGATCTCTTCATATCATCTGCGTTCTGTACAGACGCCATCTTTACAAGCCTGACAGAGGTCACTGTTGTGTGGATTCCGCGGTTTCCCAGGGCGACGGTTCATGTGAATTGGAGGTTGATAAAAACCATAAAATACTTGGCCTACTCGGTTATAAATGTTGACCAGAACCTAAAAAAAATTCATAAAGTAAAGTAATTTAACACACAATAACAACCATAAATTTGTTTGTCAGTAAATATAATGTTGTAGCAGTTTCCATTAAGTTGACTCGCCTTTATTATTCAGTAAAAACAATGCAAAGTCCAGTTCTATTAACGAAACAGATAACTTTTCATTTCTCGTATCGTAAGTCCTAACTCACAGATAAAATTAAACAACCACATCTTTATTAAATTTCCTCTAGTATCTACGGCAAAAACTCGAAACTGGTTGACTAATACATTCGCTAACTCAATATTCGATCAACAACATTGTAACAAATTGTTTAACAAACTAACTCACTAGCGACAACGGTGGTTTTTCCACTAATGCAATAACCCCCCTCCCAAGCCTTTAGAAAATTCGAGATGTACGTGCACTTCCTTATCAAATCTAGACACTCATGAAAACTCCTCGAGCAAACAATACAAAACGTCTACTTTAAAATACAAAAATGTAATTTATAACAATAATACACATTTTTGAAGTTTCATTTCTAAATAAATATATGGTAAGTTATTTGGAGGCATATAAATAAGTTGATTTTCACTAAATATAAAAAAGGTCCGTTTCTTTGTTGTTAAAGCCATAGCTACACAAGGGCTACCTGTGCTCTACCCACCGTGGGTATCGAAACCAGATTTTTAGTATTATAAACCCTGGAACTAACAGTATTAAAATCGAGTACATTGGATAAATATAACATGAAGTATCGGACTGGTGGTTAAGTAAGTGTGAAAATACTAAAATATTATGGATAGCGAATGTTGTATTTTGTGTTCTTAGTAAATAAATTAACCCTCGCACGAGCAATATTCCCACAGAGGCTATACATTTATTAAATCTATGTAGCCTTGGACGAGTTACCTTTTTAAATAAAAATATTTAATAAGACTACATTTAAATTATTTGAAATACTATAAAAACTAAGAGGTAGGTTTAAAACTCCTTCAGGTAAATAAGGATTAATCGATAAGTATGGTTAATATCATTATAACAAAATAATACCATTTCGAAGAGATCTGGTCCGCTTTGAAGTATGTTATTCATAGTTCATTTAGTTCCTTGATATTATGAAAATATATAAAACAATTCACTACTCATGCAATTCGAAGCTAATATAACATTTAAGGACTTTCTGTTCAATTAACCAAATGATCCATGTGTTACGGCGACATCTAGTGAACAAAATTCTAACATATAGTTCCTGTGTAATTGGTAGTGTGAGCGTGTTGTGCGTCATCATGTCTCAAACTCTGGAACCTTAGTTCCAGAACCTGACATACTAATCATTAGGCCAGCCTCTCTCTAGATATACACTCAATACTGTATATTAAAGTAGTGTATTGTCAATAATTGTTCAAACAAATGATATTTCAGTTGCGCTTTAATTTTATATTTGGGACGAACTTAAGCAATCAGAATCATTTTCAATGCTTAATACTGCTTATAATCTTCCAATAATACACAGTGAGTTATTTTAATCTGTGGCTACTTACTTTGACCACTTCCTCCGGATACCACATGGCTGGCTCATAGCGACCACCCTTGCACCTATCACACTGCTGGCCATAGAGTTTAAATGTCACGATGCCTTCTCCTACAGTAGGGTTAAAGATGAACCAAAATCCAACTCGTCCTTTCATGGAGGTCCATCCGTGACCACATTCCTAAAATATCATGACAAGTAGAGAATAAAGGCTATTGATTTTCTGCCATTATACCCCTACAGTATTTCTCATGGTCAATTAATTTCTTTATCAATTTCTTCTTTTTTTCGGTTTTACTTATTTTCATTCTGAATACCATTGATTCAGATCATAGAAACTTCTAGATGTATTAATAGTAATTTATTCATACTACTTGGACAGTGGGATGAAATACAACAATACTATTTCTACACTTTTTTATCTGTTTTTGAGCATTATTCTGTCATTAGAGCACAATTATAAATGTTCTTTTCTATAAGTGGAATATATATTTAGAACGTAGATCGTTTTGCAACATGAAATAGCTATTTACAATGATATTCCAAGTACATATAAATAACAATCGGGAAAAGATACACAATTTCTTTTAGCGTATTTTTTTTTGAAACATTTAAACCTCAATCTTTACTACTTTACTACATAATACGCACTATTGGTGTAACACATTTACAAAAAAGCAGGAAATAAAAGCCCACTGATAAGTGAGCGTGTGAGTTAGAATATCTACGTTAGCCTATAACGTTTACTTTTGTTTCTGTTCCTCATGTATGTTAGTGTCTTTTCATCCGTGACTGTCAACTATAAACACTGATCAGCAGTGATTCCAGGTTGATCCAATGGTTAGTAATTATTCAACTTTGGTTGCTGAGTCAGCGTCTTAAAAAACAACATTTCAGTATTACTAAGTGCGTGCAGGAGAAACTAAAGTGCTCACCAAGCATGACTTGACTTCATTAATAATGTCTAGAAACAACCATCGACAGAGTTTAATTAGTTGTTTTTCAAAAGCAATAGATACTCAAAAACGTGCCGAGGAGATCTTTTATGCGAAAAAAACACACCACAAAATGACACTTAATACACAAGCGTATTTACTCTCATAGATACCTGTGTACATACACTTAGAGTGTTCGTGTACTTAACGATTATTCATTTACATTTTGCTTGTTTATTTAATGCTTATGTGTCTGCTTCTATCTTATTTATTTGTTATTACTTTGTCCTTCTAATGCCTTCCCATTCATTCAGATACACATTGATATATCTATCAGTGGCGTATCTTAGCCGGTGGCTTTGATTTATCGCACTTATTTATATTGTATATATATATATACTTGTATAACAGTAATAAAAACATATAAAATATCCAAAATCATTATGAAAAATGCGTAACTAAAAATAAATTAGCATTTAGCATAATAAATAATACTAAATTAGCGCCCTCTGGCAATTTACTACCCTACTTTGCACCGCAACCATGAGCGCTATTCTTCCAATTTGTTTAACGCACACTGATAGTTGAATCGTCTCCACAGCACCAATCACCATAGACGACACATATAATCTGTACTCGCACAGTCACTGCAGTCAACAATGGCAATATATCGTGTAAATAACATCTTGTGTCACTCCTTTTCCAAAACTGCGGTGATTATATATTTGTGCTAGTAATGGATGAGATTAAGATAATTTTATATTGTCTAAAACACTACTTTTTAAAAATTATGTTAAGGCTGGTTTATCGCCGGTAAACACGGTAACACGGAAAATACGCCACTGATGTCTACCTATTCTATAATGAGCTACTTAGTTCTCTCTGTCTATTGCCTGTCAATCTACCTACAAATCTATTCGTCTACTTGACTACAAATTGATTTGTATACACATTAGCTTTCTACAAATTGCTAATTTATTTGTGAATCGAATTATCTACTAATCTACGTGTCTGCTTACACCCCATCTACCTATCAATCTAATTGTCAAGTAATTATCTACCTACCTACATTTTCAACTGTCTACCTACACCCTATCTACAAACCTACTAATCTATAGTTTTTACGTATTGCTTATCTATCTACCTACTAACATAATCGTCGACATAAGAGCCATGTGGTAATAGAAACAACGGCAGTGAAACCCGTGGGTTAGGAAAACGTCAAGGTAGATATGCATTCTTTATTCAAATAATCAGAAGAACGGGAAAAAGTAATGATGGCGCAGAAAAGGAACTACTCAAAACGAAACAAATCATAATGTGCAGGTCAGATAACTGATGATGGGTGAAAGTACAAATCCACGTGTAAGAACCCCACCCCCCAATTTCTAAACTGAGGAGCAAACTTGAGAATAAAGAATAGAAAGGAAATATGAAGTGTATGAATACAGTACTACAAATTCGCACGCAGAATGTTTGAAAGGTGGATTCTAATTTGTAAGATCTAAAGCCAACATATATTGTGTAAAGCACAATCAGCATGCTAATGCTATGAGGGGCGAGGGGGCACGTGATTATTTCAAGACAGAAAATGCTAATGCTTCATCAGAAGAATGTAGACTATGTAGAAAACATTAAATACCATAAGCAGGTGCACTATAACTCTATAAGTATAATTCTTTTACGTCACAAAAATAGTAGGTGAGAGAAATAACAGAAGTAAGTACTAAAATCATCTCACATGACAAAAGCATCCTCAGGTGTAACGGAAATATGTTCAGTGTTTAAAATATATAATTTACTGCACTTCAGAGAAAAAAGAATTGTGACTAGCAGAAGTGTCGTCAAGATTAGGGCTAGCACTGTAGCAGGCGAATTCAGCTCTGCAGAATCTGAATACGATTAGGCCTGAGCAAAAGATTGACCTTCGTCAAAAACAGAAGAAAACGGCGATCGTGATACCTGCTAGAAATATCAGTACACACGCCACAAAAACGTAGAAGTATCAGAGCTGACACAGCATCTATAAGTTTCTCTGCGCATTAACAGCAAACTGCGGAAGTTATATAAATTCCGATAGAGGTGGAAATAGTTGCATCAGATAAAAAAAAAAACGTTGTAGCAAAGTGAAAAGCACGACCGATAACAAGAAAACAAATGAAATTACAGCGGGAAAGCAAAACTTATGTAAGATAAGATGCTTGTGTAATTAATCACATAGAAGAGTGAGAGAGTGGAGAATTGTGGGTAATTAACATTTGTTCTCCAATGAGTATAGAACGATCGGAAATGTTTAGTCACAGCATGACAGCATGAGTATTACAACTCAACAAGTAAAGGCTTTCGGTATTTCAGAGGTAAGTCTACCTGGTTTGAATTGTCTAATTACCGCATATCTAACTACTCACTGATCTCTTTATCTACCTATTGCCTACTTACCCACCTCCTAATTTATTTTCCACCTACTGCTATACACTAACTAATAATTTATTTCTCAGCATACCTTCTAAATATATTGTTTTTTTCTGTGTTTTTCGTTGTGTAACGGGCATTAACTGTAATTTGCCTTTGATTGTCTCTTGATACTTCTATTTAATATATTATTGTGATAAATGTTGTCTCGTGATTCAATTTTCCTAGTCTAGAAGCAATTCCTTTACTTTGCAGAAGTGCTGATAAGTGCAGAATATAGAAAAATGTAGGTGTAAATGTCATAAATATCAGTATTGTTAAAAGAATGTTTTAAATGCGTTGAATTAACACAATACTGGTGGTCTGCAAACGAATAACGTATTATTGTCTATATTTTTATGTTTGTGCTATTACGTCCTTTTTCCCAGCTAGATAAATTCTTTACATCAAGGTCTACACTGTACTTAGCAGACACCGTGTTCATATCCTAAAGACTGATAGTGATTTTCTCAACACATAGCAGTGTCATTGTAGTACTAAAATAACTATCGCCGAGGCTTAGTAGGACTTGGTTCTGTTCTGAATTGTTATTATTCAAAATAAATGCTGATAGATTAAGTATTCGGTTTCATAACAAAGTCAGTTAAGAATTTTAATTTACATTACCAAGACAAAATGAAATCATAGACATACTAATTTATGTTATATTCCTGCACATACGAGAACCCATAAAAATATTACAAGCACAAGCGGATTTTCGAAATTTTGTTTTTAATCAGTAAAATACGGTAAACAGATTTAAAACTTATGCTTACGTACTTCACAACAAAATCGTACTTTGGCAGAGTCGACAAAAATGTTCCAAACCCCAGCAGGTTTGTGTTCCAAAGCAGTAAGGTACCAGCGGTGGGGCAGATACTGGTTAAACAGTTGGTGAAACTCTGCTAGCCATACTTGTTCCATTCCACTAGAGAGATAACATAAAATAATTACTAAGTTTTATTTAAATGAGAAAAGTGGTAAAACAACTTGACATTAAAAATTTATCCAGGGTTTTTGGTTTAGATCAGCGTCTCTCAACCTATTCAATATCAGGGACGGACTCGTTGCCTCCCTAAACTGTCGCGGACCTCTAGAATGAAAGTACAAGGATAAACTATTACGATTTACATATAAATATTTGTTTGTTTTCCTGGCAAGATGGTTGGGAAGGACCAGTGATTGAGAAAGACTTGTTCGGATAACTTGATGGTAAAAAAGTGTATTTATTGTTTCTGTTGTGAAATAGTTTGATGCAATGAACAGTACATCTCTTTTCAATGAAACTTCTTACAGTTAATTTATTCTCAAGAAACAAATAATTTTATACTGTTTTGAAATTCAACAATATAATATTATTATAGTCTCTACGTTTAACACAAACTTTCTGGAAGTTGCATTGTTGTTTGATTATTAGTTTATGTAACTATACATCACAGTAAAACTGATAATATTTTTTTATGTGTTGCATTCCCAGCCGACCTGATGAACTCTGGTATTTGCGAAAGGCCTCGTCAGCAGTGGCACAAGATGTACAGTTGAGATACTATATATATGTATTATATTTCTTCTTAATGGAAACCTGTAATATAGTGCCATTAAAGAAAGATTTGTAAAAAAATAAAAATAAAATATTATCAGTCTACAAAATACCCGATTAATAGACCACTTTTTCTTGTATAACACGCTATATACAATAATATAGGATTTATTGTTGTTTGGCCGGAGAGGTGTTTAACGTGACGTGATGGGCGCGGCTTTGATCTCTGAAACTTTCTTCAAGGCTTGGAAGATAATTTGAGCCATATGTTCAGACTTAGTTTATTTTTGAAATTAGATACCTCCGCTAATGATGGTTAAGCTTACCTTGGAACTTGAAGCTCAAGAAATGAAACCTTTTTGCTATCATTAAGTGGACTAGTTTTTGCATTATTCTTGTTACCAAAGAATCCAAAAGAACATGGCCATAAATAGAAATAATTATAAAGTATTATAATAAAGACAGTCGGTATAATGAGTGTGAAGGTAGTAGCAGCAAACATAGCTGGGTGTTCTGGATGCGGGGCGGGCATTAAAACACTACCACACAAATTCAAACAAATAATCAGAGAGCTCATTGTCTTCCTAAGCCTAACTGATGAAGTTGTCACATTTAAGCCTTGATAAAGTTTATATCCTCTATGTTTGAAATAGTAAGTATTTTTGTTACGAATAAAAGTGTATGTGTGTGTGTGCTTTTGTAGACGGGCCCACTAAACATACAATTTTTACTGATTAGAACTTTGAGAAGCTTTCTTCTTCTTTAAGACTTTAGTGCTAAAACATTTCTGGTTTGTAGGACCCACAAATGATATGTATTTAAGTAGTGTGAGAAAAAAGAGAATCGTGGTTGGTTTAACAAATCCTCAAATTCGATGAAAAAGTTACTAGAATTAGTTAAAAATGAATATACTATTTTAAGATCTAATTAAGCATTAATTAATTTAAAATATAGTGCTCAAATTACTTTGGTCACTTTAAACACAAATAAAATAATATTACATTTAAAAAAAAAAAATTAGATTTTTCACGCAAAGCTACACAAGAGCTATCTGCACTTAGCTGTCTCTATTCTTTAACTTATATACTGGTAAAAAGGTTGGTTTGTTTTAGCGTAAAGCTACACAATAGGCTATCTGTTCTCTGTTCACCACGAGGAATTGATCCCTGTATTTGAGCGTTGTAAGTCCGTAAACTTACCGCTCACTCACTGAGGGATAAACTGGAAGGAACGTTGCTAGTCAATAGCACTCACCTTTAACTATTGAGCTACTCATATTTGAGTGAATAGGGAAATTTGACCATAACTCCTATAGCGCGTTTTTGCAATAATAGGACGTGAAACACACATTTTCTAATTCACAGTCCCGGGCGCGAAACTTGGACTACACCCATCCGTATTAAAAAGATATTTCGAGGGATTCAATTGTCAAACAATTAAGTTAGTTGATTATTTTCAAGTGAAATATTTAATTATTTCACAAAAATCTTATATTAGTCATTTAGGTAATACTGCAAATACAGTTAGAAATTAAACTAAAATTTCTGTTACTTGATTTAAAATTACCGATTCACACGAAAACGCCATAAATTAATGCAGAAGACAATAATGTTTCCAAAACATTGTTTTGAACCTGCATTTATTATAGAAAACGGACTTTGAAAAACCTAAAGAAGATAAACAATAATATAACCAAATTATAATGAAAGACCATCTGATGTTTTTAAATGTTTTTTTGAATTAATGAAACTTAATATTTCGTTCGCCACTTATTAGTGAGTCATTGTAACTTCACGTCTGCAGTGCATAGCATTTATGAAATCTCAAAATCTCTAACGATACTTTCTGTGAAGACTAATTTTCTTATCGCATTTTTTGGTAGCATGGTGTTCATGGATTCAGAGCTGATTTTCAATTTCATTTTATACAGAGAGGGTCGATAAAGCGAATTTCCGGATAAGTATTTGGTCGTTGTGCGCGATCTGTGAGGGTCAGGTTCAATCAGTCCTCTCCCTCTCCTCTTTACTATTTATAATAGACTGTCAAAATGTTATCGCGTTATTCATAAAATCAAGGCTTTAAAATTAACATGTATTCGCCGAGTTGAAAACGCTGATTTTACTTCCCATTTCAGGGTTATGACCATGAATAGAATGCTTATAGCATTTAGTGTAATTTCAATGTTTCTCTTCATTTGGTCGTATAAATTCAAAAACAGTTCCATGTTAACTATTCCAGTTCACTTGGTCGTATAAATTCAAAAACAGTTTCATGTTAACTATTCCAGTTCATTTGGTCGTATATATTCAAAAACAGTTCCACGTTAACTATTCCAGTTCATTTGGTCGTATATATTCAAGAACAGTTCCATGTTAACTATTCCAGTTCATTTGGTCGTATAAATTCCAAAACAGTTCCATGTTAACTATTCCAGTTCATTTGGTCGTATATATTCAAAAACAGTTCCATGTTAACTATTCCAGTTCATTTGGTCGTATATATTCAAAACAGTTCCATGTTAACTATTCCAGTTCATTTGGTCGTATATATTCAAAAACAGTTCCATGTTAACTATTCCAGTTCATTTGGTCGTATATATTCTAAAACAGTTCCGTAGTAAAATGTCACTTTTTCATTCGAAATAGTTATCAATCGCGTATTGGACATATAAAAACCCTTTTAAGTACACATGTGATACCTAATTCTAAGCGATATATTAAGGTCTAGTACAGGTGGACTTTTTCTTACAGTAGAAATTGAGTGGACTATCATCACCATGTATGATATACTACAACGATATATTTCTGTTAGTGGGTTATTTTCATATACATTTTTATCAAAATATCGGAACGAGCAATCTCCGAGTCTGTCTTGAATTGATTCAATGTTCGTGTATTTGTGCATGAATTTTATATGAGTTGTTTTTGGTACTCTGTAAGCTGTGGTGATTACTGCATTTTATATAGTCTGTAATTTCTTAATATCTGAAGGTGCTAAATTAGTCCAGGCAAGGCAAGCATATTCTATTACTGGTATATGTATTGTTTCTAAACCTTGATTATGTTTTCTGGTGTGGCTCCTGTATTTATACCTGCCAGTCTCTTGAAGTAGTTTGTTTGTTGCCATACTTTGTTCCCGATTTAAATGATATTATTTTTCCACGTTAATTTTAATTCATATGTTATTCCCAGAAATTTTGCTGATGTGACAACATTTAGAAGAACTCAAATCAAGTATATTTCTGGAGGATTTCTCAATGTTTTAATCGATTTTGAAAATAATAGTAGACATTAATTTTTATTCTATGTTTTTGGCAATATTCAACTATTTGATTTAAAATAGGCTGTAAGTTTGTGGCTGCAATCGAAGGAGTCGCGAAGTTATTCCATGGTGGGCAGAGCACAGATAGCCCATTGTGTAGCTTTGCGCTCAACTTCAAACAAAAAATTCTTAAACCATTATTCTATACAGTGTCGAGTGATTTTTCTTCTTGTGATTAAAACTATCTATTATGGTTTCAGTTAATCTAACCAAATGATCTGTTGTTTCCCAAAATTTCCTGAAACCATTTTGAACTTCAGGTAATTTTGATGTGATATCCAGAAAAATAGAGATCTTACAGCTTTGATAAAAATAACTAATTAAATATAACTTTAAAAGTTGCGCTTTAATGTGTGTGTGTGTTTTGTTATAGCAAAGCCACAACGGGCTAACTGCTGTGTCCACCGAGGGGAATCGAATCCCTGATTTTAGCGTTGTAAATCCGAAGACTTATCGCTGTCCCACTGGGGACTTGTGGTGTCGAAAGCCGGCAAAATGATGGAAAACCAATAGGCCTAAAAGTTGTTATAAAAGCATGTATAAATAGGCTTTCATAAAATCATTTGTCTTTTAGAGTCCAGCCAGTCTAATGAGTTCTGAAACGAAAATCTTATTGGGTAGCTACTTATGGGAGACAAAATAGATATATAAACCTGAAATTCTATTTTTATACACCTATGTTTTCAAGCCGCAATGAACAAAACAAGAGGAATGTGAGAAAAAAATCCACAGTTAATTTGTTTTATAAGTGTAAATTTATTTATTACGTTTATTTTTAAGCATAAACAACTTGTAACTTTATAAGCTCTCAAGCTTATCGCCGAGCCTTCGGGGGTGTTTATTTATTAAATATATTGAAGTTATTTATTATAAAATTGTGTAAAAACGTTTAATCATGCCAAATCAAGAAAACAATATCTGTAACTTCTTCATTGGTGATTCTGATTTCGTAAAAATAATTAAAGGTACTGTCAAACCAAAGTCAGTTCAAAATTGCTATTGCTATAGTTTGAAATCATCGAGAGACATTCAATTTAAAATAAATTCCTGTATGTCAGAACATTTTTAGAGCTATGTTGCCCAACTTTAAAGTAAACTGCTAAAGACAATTCAACCTAACAACTTTAAATAATGTTATGCAGCTGAACGTCCAAGTTGAGTTGGTTATTTTATACTATCGTACCCCAAACAAATGGAAATGGGATTCTTTAGTTTTTGAAAAATTGCCTGAAAGTGACAAAATGGCATCGATGTGTCCAATATCCTGCAAAACAATCTGACATAGTCAAATCAAATCAGCTTAACAGAAACCTTAGAATATTACATAAATCATAACAGAGTCAATTTTCTTCTGTAAGAAATATGGAAAATACCACGAAAACAATCAACATAAATAAATTCCTACAAATCAAAGAATAATAAAAATGCAAGTATACATGTTAAGTCCAAGTGTTCTTCCTCTTCTTTTCAATCACTAATGATTTATATGGTATGTAGATTCATAAATAAATACTGAATAAAGTGAATAATCACTGAATTTTATTTATTTATTTTCTTAATTTGAACTATTAATTATTTTATTAACTCAACACTTATTTTAATGGTTTATGTGTATCTACATTATTAGTAATGAATCCTCTATAATACATTTTTTATTTGAACACTTATTAAAGCTACGCATTACATTTTTTATCTATTAATTACAATATAGACATTTAAATTTTTCAAACTGTTTTATAAAACCGAAAAAAAAACAACAACAAGCAAAGTCCAAATAGGTGTATAAAGTTAATTGAAATTTTTCAAATGAATTACAGTTATCAACTAAATTTTCTTTCAAAACACTTATAACTATTGACAAGTTATGGTCAGCCAGTGCACAAATATATTTTTTTTTGTGATGATACTTACTATAATTGTTTCCACATCGGCATTGTTAAAACGGGACAGTATGATGTTCCTGCTGACCAATGTGTTGGACACATTGTGGGGCAAACACTAGATACGCTAGTAGTACACTGGACTCCAGGGATTATGGACGCTGTGCATACAACCATTGTATAATATCCCTAAAAAAGTAAGTAACATTTGTGTGATAAATAATAGTTAATTGAAATGTATTGAAAGAAAAACAAAATAAAATTATAAAACACATATTAAAAATCTGAATTATAAAACACATCAAATATGATTGCTTAAAGAAAATGTAATAGTATTATTTATCGGAAGTATCCGTTCAAGACTTTTAGATATATAGCATGATCAACGTAAAGTTTGTTAAATATACAAACGTGCCAAAACTGAATTCTATTTAAAGCAAAAAGTAACATATCGTATTCAATTGTAATAAGTAAAATAATTCAATAAATTAATTATCGTAGTTATCCATTCTTTACAGGAAATCTATTGACTATAATAACAAGCTGGTTTTGATTGTTTCAATTTTTAAACTAAACATTATTGCAACAAAGTTGTTAAAACTGTTTCAATTTAAATTAACGACTGTAATAACAAACTGGTAATGATTGTTTCAATACAAGCTAAAGGTTATAACAACAAAGTTGTTAAAACTGTTTCAATTTAAATTAATGACTGTAATATAAACTGGTAATGATTGTTTCAATACAAGCTAAAGGTTATAACAACAAAGTTGTTAAAACTGTCTCAATTTACATTAGTGACTGTAATAACAAACTGGTAATGATTGTTTCAATACAAGCTAAAGGTTATAACAACAAAGTTGTTAAAACTGTCTCAGTTTAAATTAATGACTGTAATAACAAACTGGTAATGATTGTTTCAATACGAGCTAAAGGTTATAACAACAAATTTATCGTGATTGTTCCAGTTTAAACTTAGGCCTATAACAAAAAACTGGTCATAAATGTTTTTAATTTACGCTAAAGACTACAACAAACTGGTCATGATTATTTTTGATATTGAAGTCTGCAATAATCACTTAGGGTTGTAAGTACCCCTAGGACGATTAGGGTTGTAAGTACCACTAGGGGCTACCGATTCGGGTCAAGTATTTCCCACTTCTGCAATATTCAAACTGCCTAGAATTGTCTTCCCTTTTCGTTCTATTGATGCTATTATTATTGACACAAGTTATAAGGTGAAAAGATTCTCTGCTATCCTGGAGGAGTAGTGTTTAATAGAGGAAAGAAAGAGATACATTTATTTCGGGCTTTGACTTTTTTAAACATTTTTTTTTTGTAATTTGAAGAACCTGCCCTTAATTGTAAGGGCGTTTAATAGACCTATGGAGTTCTTTGATATGTGTGTGTGTGTATGTTTGTGGTTTTGTTATTACTATGATTGTTTTGTTTTGAATTTTCTTTTATTTGAGGTTGTTTAAGTTTGATATGTTAAGCAGAGTTATACAATACATCCCTATTATATTATCATACAAATGTTTTGTATATAGATAGCTTAGTTTTGGGTTTGGTTTGTAATGTATTTTAAGCCTTAAGGATATTGAGACAAGACATGGCTTTAACTATGATATTACTGATATATTTAGTCCATGTTAGAGTAGAGTCGTATGTAATGCCAGGGAGTTTGCTGTTATTGTTTTGTAGATTTGATTCTGGTAGTTAAGTATTACTCTCCATTTCCATCATTTAAACGTCTGCTTTATAAACGTTTAGAATATCATATGGCTTATGGTTCGCGATCCGTTACGATTACCGTAAGTTCAGTTTAGTAACATTATATTCTGAAATAAGTGCATTTTATTTGTTTCTTCAACTTACATTATTTTCATTTCAGTAAAATCCAAACCTAGTAACATCAGTACTGCATGTTCTTTATATGCTGTATAAATATAGATTCCCTGTTGGGAGTAGGAAAAGAACTCAAAACATCATCCATATTATATAGGCTTCATCACATTAAGAAGCCTAGTTTTGTTCTTTTAATTTGTCCTTGTCCATGATTACTGAGTGATGAGGTGGAATTCTTCGAAACCAGTACAACTCAGTGACAAGTGGTGAATCGAATGACAGATTGAGCTTCATATTAATTTTTAGTTATGTTCAGTTTTATTACGTTTGAAGGAACCTTTATATTTAATACATTCTCTTTCTATATCCTTGAGTAATAGGGCATCTTGCATAACGTCTGAAAAAGTGAATAGCTGAAATCATGATTACACGTTAATAATTTATTTTATCTGGCCATTGAAATCTTAGTTTTTAAAGGTTCAAAACTGGAAATGTCCTGAGATCTAGAATAGGGGAGTATGATAGTTGAAAAACTGCCACAGTTTACACTTCTATAACTACAAAATAATAAATATTTGTTTAGGTATATTTACGTACGTTTTTAATATATGTTTGTGCATTCGGTTAAAGCCCTTGTGAATAGTATGTAAGTGGTCGCAAACATACAATATTTCTCATCGCAGGCTAAGGTTATGCCAAAGTGGTCATTACATTGAACTTAAACTCGCTTTCCCATACTTCTGTGTCAGTACTCTCGTGAAGTGTGAGTTACAAATAAGTGGTACAACGGTTTCTATAAATTAGTCTGTGCTAGGGTTTAATTTCCTATTTGAATACGTGTAATGAGAATGATTATTGATGTCATTAATCTAGGATTGTGAGATACTGCACTACGACTTTAGTCTGAGCTGAAGGTACGGGGCAGACACAATATCGCAGTAATTTATCAGGTGGAAATCTTATTCCTTCATTGTAGCAGCCACATTGTTCAAGTATTATATTGAAGCCGGCTAGTCCCAAAATAAAACACTAGCACATTTTGTCTGGGCAGGCTAAATATTTTATTTCTTTTTCATACAAGTATTTTAATATTTCCTTTATTATGTGTGTTAACTAGCTGTCACTTAATTTTGAAGCTGCCAGCTTCCAAACCATTTGTGTTTCAAAACAATTGATGATAACTAGATGCAGAAGTAAGAACTTTTCTTCAGATGAGGGAATGATATACTAAAACCTCTTCTCTTATTTGAAAAGCGTGACCATAATCTTTTTACACTATATTGACAGAAATACTTTTTGCGTGTGCCTGAAACGGTAAACGTAAAATTCATTTATAGTAGTAATTGAAATATTACGGCTGAAAATTAATCTGTATGGGTCAGTCAAGTAACCGGACAGCCTTGTAACGAATAATTATCTATATAGCTCAGCTAAATAACAAAAACAGCCTTGCTGCTAATAATAAACCTATATGAGTCAGCTTAGTAAGAAGAATTGCCTATCTGCCTATAGTAAATCTATATGAGTGAGCTAAGTAAACCGAACAGCTTTCCTGGTAATAATAAATCTTCTGGCAGAAAGGCTGATGCAGCTACTAAGATCATCCATGCTAGGTTTATTATTACCAGAAAGGCTGTTCTGCTATATACGTTTGATGTATGAGTCAGCTTAGTAAGAAGAATTGCCTATCTGCCTATAGTAAATCTATATGAGTGAGCTAAGTAAACCGAACAGCTTTCCTGGTAATAATAAACCTACATGGATGATCTTAGTAACCAGATCAGCCTTTCTGCCAGTAACAAACGTATATAGCAGAACAGCCTTTCTGGTAATAATAAACCTACATGGATGATCTTAGTAACCAGATCAGCCTTTCTGCCAGTAACAAACGTATATAGCAGAACAGCCTTTCTGGTAATAATAAACCTACATGGATGATCTTAGTAACCAGATCAGCCTTTCTGCCAGTAACAAACGTATATAGCAGAACAGCCTTTCTGGTAATAATAAACCTACATGGATGATCTTAGTAACCAGATCA